GGCTGTGCCTGGGGCATCCCCGGCCCCGGGCCACCCCGCACCCCCGGCTCGGGCAGCACCGGTCCGCTGGCGTCGGTGAAGCTGTGTCTGGTCCCTGGCAGACATGATTCCTGCCTCTGCCAGGAGCTGCCTCCACCCTGGAAGATCCCCCTGCCCCTCTCTCTCCCTGAGCCACCCCCTGTTTCCAGCCCTAGGGCCTTAGGCTGAAGTTTGGGATGATACCAATTAGTCCTTGCCCAGGAGCCAGGATGTCACAGCCCCTGCTTTGTCCTGGGGGCAGCTCTGCCCCTTCTGTGCCCCCAGGCAGGCACCTCTCCCCCCATCAAGGGCACAAATCAGCCTCTAGGTCTGTAAAGTGGATCACAATGAGTCAAAAAAAAAAAACAAACAATCCAACCCAAACAGTTTGATGGGGAGCTTGTCCTGGGCAGGCAAACTGCTGCCCACCTGGGGAGCAGGGCTGGGGGGAGCAGCCCCACTGTGGCTTCGGGCCACAACAACAGGGTGAAACACCCAAGGAGCTGTAGCAAGGCCAGGCAGAACCGGCAGGGGCTCAGGAAGGATCCCAAAACCCTTTCCATCACCTGAAACCCAAGGGGAACTGTGCCTGAGGGGGTCCCTGTGAGCCTCTGCCTGCCTGCCACGTCCCTGCCTGGCTGTGCCCCTCGGGACATGAGCATAAGAAGAAGACACACACACACACTCACACACCACAGACAGAGCAGGGAGGTGTGGCAGAGCCGAGGAGCAGCCGTGCTGTGCAGGGGAAGGTCAGCCACCAGGGTGGGACAGTGAAGCTGGGGGGGGGTTGCCTGGGAGGGTCACAGAGGAAGATGCTGGCCTTCCCACCCAGAGCTGTGCTGGGTGCTACCAGCCCCTGGGGAAGCCCCCAATGAAAGCATCCCCCATGGGTGAGAGACAGGAGGAGGAAGGAGAGCTGCTGAGGTGGGAAGCTGGAATGGCTGGAGAAGGTATGTCCAGCAAAGCTGTTTCCACTGTGGGAAGCCCCCTGGATTAATGTGCTGATGGAGGCAGTGTGGGAATGTAGGAGGTGGGTGCTCGCTTCTGCAGCAGGGGAAGAAGAGTGAGAAAAACACCAGCTACAGCAGTAAAAAGAAGCCACATCCCCACCCAATACCCCCACGCCAGCCTCTTCCCTGCCCCTCTGACCTGCTGTCCTGCCAGGCAGAGAAGGG